TTTTCTCAAAAGAAACCAAGTTGGTTAGGACATCGACACGCGTCAATATTTTGTTCGTTATAAAAGCATGATCAGTCTTGAACGCTCTACGACTAACCTCTAATTAGCTAATCAAACCTAGTCACGGACTTAGAATTTAATTTCCAATTGCATTAACGTCAAACAAACCCAACACTAATCGACAATCAAGCGCCGATTGTTTAAATTAGATTATACGATCTTACAACATCATCATTTAGCATAAATGTCAAATGTGTGTCGTGTGCTACTTCAATAAACCGAAAAGCAATTACGGAYTTAAARGTTTATCTAGCAACTCGAAATTGAATTAGACATAACAAGGGATCCTACTCAAAATATCCAACTCAAAACGATAAGCATTCAACTCTAAAATCGCATAAATAGCTTCAAATGAGATTAAAATTGACGTAAGTCTCAACAAATCCAAATTCAAAGTAATCACATGCTCATTACTAGAAATAGAAAATCAGCAACTCATAACTCTATTTTGAAACAAAAATCGAACTCACAGATAGTAGAAAGCAGTAGACCAGGAAGAACCTTAATTTGAGAAATCCMAAATTRACTCTAAAATCTGGAAATCGATTTCAGATTCTTCAAGTTCGGTCCTTTCTTGGCTTCCAGTTTTCTGTTATTGCTACTCGATTTCTGCTGCTGCWCCCTCTTCCTCAATCGAACAGCCCCTTTTTGCTGTCCTTCTTGACTCCCTTTTCTCCTCCAATCGACAGCCCTCGATAGACAAGTTCTGTTGATTTCTCTCCCAATCGACCGGGCTGCTGCTTCCTCTCTCTTCAATCCACAGCCTCTCGATGACAGCTTCGACCGACTGCTGTCCTTCTATTTCGACAGCCTCTGTTTACAGCCCCCTTCGACAGACTGCTTCTTCCCCTTGCGAGTTCTTTTTTTTTTTCAGCTTTTATCGACAGCCTTCTCCTTGATTTCTCCTTCTCGACCGACTTACTACTGCCTCTCGCCTCCAATTGACCGGTTCTGTCTTGCTTCTCTCTATCGACAGCCCTTGTTGTCACTCTCGATTCTGCTGCCTCTCTCGATGACAGCCCCTTTCGATTTACCGCCCCCTTGACCGACTGCTCTCTCCACCTTTTCTTCAATTGACAGCCCCTCTTCCTTTTTAATCGATCCACGTCTCCCATCTCTACCCACGCAAGACTGCCCACGATCTCCTGTTTTGTCTCTCGCTACCCATGTCTCTCTCTCTCTCGCTGCCGATTTCTTCCTCCCGGCTGCTGATTTAGGCAGCAACTTGGGTTTGCTTTTTGGGCTGCCTTTTTTGGCCTGATTTTGGGCTGTTTGAAGACAGCTTCTTTGTTGTTTGGACCCAAAAAAAACAAAACACATAATCAACACATTTTTCTCACCTTTAATAGCCTCATGTAGTTAGATTAATCTTAAATTAAATTGGCCCTTTTTAAGCATATATTTAACATTAATTGTAAGGTACTTTGACATAAAAAATGTATATATTTGTGCTTATCAAATTCCCCCACACTTAGATCATTGTCCGTCCCGGCAATGACTTGAGTTAACACGTAGTTATAAAAATCGAATCTAACGAGAATGTCAACACATATAGCATATCATGAGTTTGAGATTTGCATCAAAGCATTGAAAAGAGGATGCACACGCAATCAAGTAGACACAAACTAATCTCGAGAACTCTCACGAATGGGATTAACGAAGCAACACTCGATTCACTCCTTGGGTTAAAGTGTATCGCTCCAATCGTCAATGTCTAGCATGTACCTACCATATACTTGAAAAGTCTCCCACTCTCCACTACTTGGATAAAATACATGCTTATAAATCAAAAGGTCTTAAAAAGTGTAACGAAAACAAGGCTTGGGGTACGGTAGGGAAATATTTAGGAAAAGTGACTAAGACCTAACACCAACGAAGAATTCGGCTACTCAAACACACTTTATTTTTATTTTTATTTTCACAAAGGACTTTTGTATCCATCTTTGAAGCTCATTCCTTTTCGGACGATAGTGAATAGAGATAAAACGCTTATATTCAACCATATCGTCATTTTCGTCGTCTATTTTTATTTTTTATTGACGACGTAATTTTGCTTTTCACATATGTATATATATATATATATATGTGTATATATATTTTCTTTTTGAATTTTTCTCTTCTTTTTCATTCTTCCCTTTCATTTTTTTTTTCTTTTTTTTTACTTTTTTTTTCTAGTATTCTCCAACATATAACTACAACTTCTTTTTGAGCATACAGGAAAACCGGGACTACTCCATTGGTGATTGGTCGGGTRAGTTGTGTTTGGATTAGTTCATGATGTGTGTAACATACCCTTGACTAACCTTGCTCAATTATCATATTTTGTATGTTCATTGGCTTGAAAATGAGTATTATGTAATTGAAAGTGTTTAAAGTAGGTTGTTGTAATGGAAAAGAATTCTAAGTGTTAAACATGTCATGTTTCGATATGGTTTTGAGCGTTGGGTTCTAACGAAAGATGTTATCTGCAATTTGAAGGTTTGAAACTAGGTTTAGAATCATTTAGGAGGTGTTAGAAGTGTTGGAGAAATTTTACGCGATTCCGATCAAAAAGTCAAATCTTAGAATTAAGTAAAGTAAATGTCTAAGTTACGAATAAGTAAAATTGCTTTTATTTTTGGAAGATCTTTTCTGAAATATTTTTATTGAAAGTTGTAGATTATCTCGTTACGAACGCGTAGGCGAAAACCTCATCGAAAACGGAGTTCTGAGCAAAAAGTTATGCCATTTTTAGTGTTTAGTAGTCAAAAATGGGTACCCAACCGGGTCAAACCCGACCCAACTCGGGTTTTAGCTAATAAAACAYGATTTTTGACCCATTAAGACCCCATTTCAGCTACTGCCTTCTCTAAGAAAATTTAGGTGCGATTCTTATCAATGGAGACCAAATCTAACTTCATACTAAGGAGATTAACATCAATCTTGAAGGATTAAGCATCAATTTGAAGGTAAATCTCATCCTTATTCTTGTTCTTGAAGTTGCATCAARTATGATAGTATTTGGGTGAGATAAGCTTAATGCATGTTTAAAATAAGTGAAGAAATCATGAATTGATGCTTAGATTATGATTATACATTCGTTGGTTCCTTGATTCCATGATTGATKTGCAAGAAATGGTAAGRAAATTTGACTTTTGYTATATAAAGATGRGTTTTGGTGAAATTGGTAGAGATGGGTGAATGCAYCAWGGTTTCTTGTTAATTTTACCTTGATAATGATAAATTTAAGTTAACATCTRAATTTGGTTAGGATTGGAATGGAATTGGATACTTAATTGGACAAAGGTGAGATTTTTGGAGTTTGAAAACCATGTTAYTGCACTGTTTTAAAAAAMATCATATCAAATYATAGAAAAATCARAAAAATATGAGSTCAGTGGCATCGGAAAGCTAGGAATGTCTACTTTGTTTCRTATTTGTACATCGAAATMTAATTCCAACTATAGGATGRCTAAACAGYGTYATCTTTTCAGTGCGGTTAAGCTGATATTTGACAGCCTTCTGCTGTTATACTATAAAATTCATAGAAMATTRTAGAAAWATCCTAAAAATCAATAMAAATAGGCTCTASAAAGGTATGAGAAAGGGCTACAATTCATAWTTGGAAGTCATTTGAYGATTTTGAGTTTAAGGYGGGAAAAACAGGTCTGSAAGTWGGTGCTGTAAGGAGAAAAACAAARTAGAATGCTTGAATTAAAAAGGGTTAAATATGTGTTATTRTTGTGCATTGCTAATGGAGATCTATRTATGAASTCCAGGTGGTATTTAAGCRTAWTTGAAGGCCTTGGAAGTGTTCTCCAATCATTGAACAAGAGTTGGGATTCAWCTTTTYGGTTTGGCTTTCGRTTTGATTAACCGAACTTATTGAACAACATTGTGAGTTTATGTGGAGATATGTGTTACTTTATGGTTATATATGCTTATATGCTTTACTTTTCTTCCATGAATCATGTTAGATCTTGGATATCCCCTTGAATTGTCAAATTGCTTCTTTTGATCTTTGTGATGTGTTTTGGGCGCCGATTGTCGATATTCCATGGAGTCCGGTGAGACAATCAGAGGGGCTGCCGTACGCACTGTCCAGTGGGGGTCAGGGGGTGAGTATAGGTCTTTGGTGCAATCCGGGAGAGGAAGGACGGATTCGGTGCCAAGTCTTATGAGTTGTGTGAAAGTTAATTGGTATTTGAACTTACATGATCTCGAAAAGAATAATGTTGATCGTATCGATGTTTTCTTGATGATTCCCTCGTTGAAAGTACTTTTTATACATAACTTTGTGTGGTATAATTACAATGTTTCTTTGGTACTATGCAAACTTGCTTTCGAGTACTTCTTCGTTTCCTAGTATGTATGCTATATAATGCTTTGTAATCGCATATTTTCACATGAATTCACTAAGCTTTATAGCTTACCCTTTTAGTGGTTTTAACCTTTCAGGGATATTGGGCAAAAGTTAGAACAAGGTCGAGTGATCGATAGGAATTTGCAGGTGAAGGCTGCTTTTGGTTTAGGTATATATAAATATGTATATTAAACTTTTGGGATTGTAAATAGTTAGTATGTTTCGGGTAGACATGTCCCCGATGATCACGTTATGTAAAATTTAAGTATTAAATTATGTGTCTTGGGCTCTATATCGTTATCCCGTAATTTGAGKTTTTTTTTAAAACTAAATTAATTTAATGGTGGTTCGGTAATTGTTTGTTATGTAACCGTGGTGTTACCAATATGGTATCAGAGCAGTGGTTTAAGTGAACTAGGTATCTATATCGGTATCTAGACTTAAACTAGGCGTTGATGTTATATAGTAACTAAGCAATGATTTATACGGGATATGGACCATTAAGAGAGACCAAAGTTAGGTAAGGGACCATGGATAGGATGTTGTTTAATACTCTATATGTTTTAATACTCTCTATATGTATACACCTTTTAGGACGATGGCTGATGATGATGTTGTTAGTCACACTCCAACAAACCCTAATGTTGGAGAAAACGATCCCGACCTCAACCTGAATGAGGATGCTACACCGTTGTCTCCCCGTAGTGAACGCTTAATGAAACGACTTACGACTTTCGTTCAACAAACTTTTGAACATCATAAGCATGACATTGAAAAGGGTAAAGAGAAAGAGTTGGGTGGTCTCTCAAAACCCAAAT